TACTGTGGCGAGTAATGGCGTTCGCGAAAAACATTTTACACTTCCCCGGTCATCCACGGGTACCAATACTATAGCGAGTAATGGCGTTCGCGCAAACAAAAACACTTTATACTTGCCGGTGATCCACGGGTACCAATACTATAGCGAGTAATGGCGTTCGCGCAAACAAAAACACTTTATACTTGCCGGTGATCCACGGGTACCAATACTATAGCGAGTAATGGTATTCGCGCAAAAGGAAACACTTGATCAAAAGAAAGAATCTTTAGAAATATGATATTTGGTCACTTACTTTTATTTAAACGTGAAAGTTGCTACAGGCGTTGAACCAGCGCGGATGTAAGCCGCGCTCGAAGAAGATCAAGTGGCAGTAGAGACGAACTCTGGTAACCAGTTGATCGTTCGAGGGTGGTAACGAAATTCGACTGTGTCCTCGCTTCGTAGTAGACTGGGTTGTAGCAGAGTCGGGCTCTCACTACTCAGTCTACTTTGATGGGTATCGTCGAATTTCGCGTGCCAAACTGAATTGACTTTTTCTCTGGGCCTACGGGCCTTTTTATTGCGAGAAGCGGACCTTGGTCACGCGCTGGCTCGAAAAACGCAGGAAAACTTGCCGGGGGAAAATTTTAGAGAAAAGACAATAGCCGAAAATCTAATTGGCTAGAACTACTCTAGTTTAGCCACTCAGAAATTGGCACATCCCACATCCGGCTTGTTCTCCTCTGTGCGTCAAGAGAAGGGAAGGTGATTAACCTACTCATGCCCTCCCTTTCCCTTTTACATCAAAAGTTACAAGATTTTATCATAATTTAATATTAATGTTAAGATATAGTATTAATAAGTATTAACTAATAGTAACCGTTGTTCACCCATTCAATCGAATCCGATGCAAAAAGAGCGGTGAAAATCGCTTAATATTCAGGTTTGATTGAATAAGTGTTCGGTACTTTATAACATTAATAATAGTCTTAGTAGTAGTAAATAATTGTAAAAATTGCTAGCTTTTCCGCTGTACACGTGAGCATTAATCGGACTGATAAATTATCATGAATGATTATTTAACAGCAGCGGTTTCTTTGGTTAAAACACGGACATCCATAGAAACAGTAGTAGGGGCTCGTTGCGAACTATTATATTGTTAATTTACTTAAATTTACCAATAGTTTCCATTCATTGTTAGTTGTAAATGTATTTCAAAATGTTAGTAGCATTTCGTCAACTATGGGTTTTTCTGCTTGTCGTAGGAGAGGAAGTCGGCTCAGGGTACCCTGGGGAATCGGGAATTCCGTTACCCGTGTTGGGGGCAAGAGTGCGGACTCTCTCTCGACATCTCTGCGTCAGGAAAAGGGGGAAGTGCCATGACTTTCCCGTTGTCCTTTACATTTGAAACAGTGACAGTTTTTAACAAGATTACAATTTAGGCTATTGCAGTATGTTTATGAAATTGTTGACGTGATACAAAAGGGTTGTACAGTAAACCATGAGCCTGCTGAATGGTAAAAATCGGATAATTCTTTGAAAGTCGATAAGATTGCTTTCGTAGGTTTATGTAATATTGTTGCTGGCTAATGGTGTGCAGGTTTAATGGTGCAGCGTGTACAGGTTGTATTACCAATATGTAATAATTTTACCATTTGCTACTATCTTCGCTTAGCCTATGGGTTTTAACCCTAAGTGATTCTAGTTTTTAACATTATACTAATATCTAATATTAAACTTCAGCGCAGCTGTTCCCAGTTGGATTATTGCATCAATTCATTTTCATAATTATTTCGTTTTTACTTTGCTCGTTGTTTCCGGTCAGCATAGGCCAGCGTGCATGTATGTGAGTCATGCATGGTCGTAGTACCTTAGCTAGGAGCATTCTTGCAGGTGATTCACCTCTTTGCAGATGCACATTGGCCTCTGCATTTAGTATTCTAAAATCGGCGCGGAAAGTTTTGAAGCAAGAGGAAAAAAAAAATTAATGTGGATACACCGATGTTACACTTCGATAACGTCCGATATTATGTAATAAATTTTAGGTTTTTTCAAATAAAATGCAATAACTTATGATAATTATTGTTGTTTTATGAACTTTTTTATTATAAATTATCAAACATTATCGATTATTGTTCAAGATTATTATAATTTCTTGTAAAATCTATAAGGCATCATGAAGAATATGGAAAAATTTATGAGATTATCTTAATATGCTTTTTTTTATGAACTATTCTATTTAGAGTATAAAAATATTCTACATATAATATGTCCTGTGGTAATCATAAAAATTAAGTAAATTATTGTTTATTAGGTTTTATACAATTTTGGTACCGTACAAAACTATTTAAAGGTAGGTAAATTATGTTCAACGATTATATAATACTACAGTAACATCTTTTTAAAAGATATTAAACATTTGGGTGGTTTAAAGGGATTTGTATTACTAAAACATGTTAATCCGTAGACCAGGTAAGATTTTGTGGCCTATCCTATTATGTCCCGGGCGCACAGCGTACGACAAACGAGTTCTTTCAGACAAAAATCAATCAACCGAGAAATTTTCAAGAACTCTCACATATTTATGTTGCTGCTTAAGCTGATGCTTTTTATACAATTATAGAATTATATTTTCTATTCCGCAAAAAGTTCTAATTTAAAGTACTACTTGACTCTCTGCTCCCGTAGATGATTAACAGAAGCATTAATCACCAAGGAACACGAAGAACTTACTTTTTATGCTAGAGGATGATTATCGGAAGCGCCAAGCAGCAGATATTGGAAGAAGAGACAGGCTGCAGCGCTCGATCTCTGCTAAATGGATCGGCGAAGGAGACGGGCTGTATGCGCTCGATCTGAGCTGTACTGATCGGTAAAAGAGACAGGCTCAAAAATGATTAACATAAGCGTAAATAGTCAGGAAACTCGGACACTTACTTTTTATGCTAGAAGATAATTAGTAGAAGCTCCAAGCAATAGAAATCGGTGAAACAGACAGACACTTACAGTAGAGATCGAGCACTACAGCCTGTCCCTTTTTTTTTTAATCCATGCAACAGAGAGTTCTTTGAAATTTCTCGGTTGATTGATATCTATCTGAAAGAACTCGTTTGTCGTACGCTGTGCACCCAGGACCTAAAAGGATATTCGCTCCGAGCCGATACAGAGGTTGCGCCCCCTCTAGCCAAAATCAGGCAACATTTATTGCATGTAAACAAACGGTTTAGAACATATATACATACGTACAGCTGCTTGTGATTGGCACTTGGCAAGCTAGAGAGAGAACGACGATCCTCTCCTGCTGTCTTATTCAGCCAATCACAAGCAGCTATACGTATGTATATATGTTCTAAACCGTTTGTTTACATGCAATAAATGTTGCCTGATTTTGGCTAGAGGGGGCGCAACCTCTGTATCGGCTCGGAGCGAATAAGGTTAAGTATACCATGTAACCCTACCACGTAGTGCATTAGAAAAAAAAAATCTCTTACCTAAGCGAAAAGTACCACTATATTCGTAGAAGTTTTAAACAAATTTTTTTGATTATTCAATATGAGCACTATTACTTCGGTTTTTGGCTATTTGTGTGAATTATTAATGTCCAGACCATAACAATCACATTTTAGGTTTAAATATGTATTCTAAAACGTAACACAACAAGATCTACAATTTTCCATGACCATACATAAAACTAAAAACATTAGGTGTGGCCAAAAATACTGATTTTTTGACCTGCTAAAGTATTTCCTTTATTTTTCAGAGCATCGAACATGTTNGCAGCTTTAAAAATAAAATAAAAGTACGGCGAGTCCCATTGCGGACGCAGCTTTAAAAATAAAATAAAAGTACGGCGAGTCCCATTGTGGACGCAGCTTCAAAAATAAAATAAAAGTACGGAGAGTCCCATCGTGCACAAGGAATCATACTGCGGACGCATTTACCTGTGGTTAGTACATTTAGCACCATCTATTAGTTCAAGAGAGAGAGGTACGGTTACGTTTCATTGAATGATTCCTATCTAAGTATGTACCTTGTCTCTCATCAGACTGGTTGGTACTGTTGGTAGTAACCTCATAGAGATATTATAGAATATCTCTATGAGTAACCTTCCGGCAAAAAATTACTAGTCTAGTTTTGTGCAAGTTGACCCCGACCCGTTAAATGTCTTTATTGATAGATACATAAAATAAAAATTAAAACTATAATATAGTTTAAGCGCGAGATTCACAATGTTCCACCGTGACTACAATACGTTGATTTAAAATAAAAGAATCTAGATTGTCAATTTAAAATTGAGCTTATTGTTTGATTAATCTTGGTGAACTATATAGTGATTGAAATACCATTTCCTTATAAAATAAAAGTGAATAATTGTACGAAAGAGAGAATTAATGATATTTATGATATACCTACCCCTCCACAGGTGATTGCGAGTCCTTAGATTCTTTGAGTTTATTTAAAAATTTAAAGGCTACTTTATAAGATAATTTATTATCTTGTTGTTTATTGTAAATTAATAATCGAAATTCATACTAAAAGATTTTTACTTTAAGCTAAAATCGGCCACAAAAGTAAGTCATGTAAAGAGGCTAAGGATTCTGTCTTGGCAGACAAAGAGGTGTTAAAAAATTTTCTTTTAATAATATAGAGTGACAGAACAAATAAAAGAAATTAGTATACTCTACTTTTATCAAATCAAAATATTAATAAAGTATTAATTGGACAGAATCAATGTAATTATTGCAGGGATAAGTAGATTATTCGACAAGATTACATAAAATCTAATGAAAACCACTTTTCCCCAGTAAAGAAAAACAAAATTCTTAGCCGATTCTAATAACACTATAAAGTCAGGGTCAGACTCACAGAAAGGGAGGTCGTAATATGTAAATATTACTAAATGCATCCATTTTAACAGCATATTTTATTTTCAGCTACATCTTATTCTAAATGTAAAGCCACATTGTATACATAATTATACCACAAAAAAACTACTTTAAAAATATTATTAATAACGTAACTATAATTTTACCTCTGTTTATTTTTCCTCAGTACAATTTATTTCAAGGATTACAATTATAAAGGAGTTCAATCAAAAAATAACAATTAACGTGAATACTCCATACAATAGAAGACAAGGATAGGCTATTAAAAGTCTTTGTTTTTCTTCACCAGACATAGCACAAAACAGTCGAGAAGCAGATGTGGTTGCCCACAAAACAGCAAAGCCAGAAAGAAGCATACCACCTGTGTTTTGCAAGCTTGTAAAAATGCCTAATCCTGCTAAGGCAACTACTGGTAGTATGCAGTAGCCAAGCACAGACGCCACTGATACTAAAGTAACATTCCCACTACTGGTCATAAGGGAATGTAAAATGAACATCAGTATACAAGACGTTGCAGCTAGCCCATATACGTATCCAAAGTGTGCTTTTGATCCAGCCAAAAGTAAGAACGCAGCAAGTGTCAAACAAAATGCCAGGGGTCCTGCTAGATCTGAATCCTGCAAAAGATAATTTGCATCATCTGTTTGGCCATGACGGTGAAACGGATTTAAAACGGCTAATGTTTTTTGTAAAATTCTGTCTGGATCTATGCCAAGCTCTTCCAGTAGAGGTGGCTCATCTTCTTCATCTGTGAAAGCTGCTGTTCCTGTATGAAAACGCAGTAGAAAAATTGAATGAATAGTTGTTTAAACTTAGATAAGTGATTATCAATCGTAAAATTACTCAGTACTTTGGTTGTTGTAATTATCCGGAGTGTAAAGTTCACCAGTGTATGGGCTCTGATTGGGATTATAAAAATCTTGCGGTGGATAGGATTCATAATCGTTTGCTTGAGAGTCGGTATAATTTGCAAATTCGAACTGTTGGTTAGGTTGACCAAACGATGTGTTATCGAAATTGTATTGCACATTCTGCGGAGGTGGTGCCCAAAAATTATCTTGGTTTGAATAATCTGACATATTTGTTTTCAACGTTAGTAACTCAAATGACTTAGCGGAAACTTAATAGTTGGATTAAAAGAAACTTTGTATCCTGCAACCACGGCACCGAGCTTACATCAACAGAGCTTAGCTGTTTGTATATTCACTATATAATAGTATATTAACAACAATATGGTAACACAAAATTCATTCACTTATGGCGGTTCGAGCAGTCGGAGCGGTTAGAGCATTCGGAGTCTAAAACTGCGTGAGGGCAAACAACGCAAACAGGGCGCTGCAACGGTATGAAACGAACTGAAACACCTTGCCAGCAAACAGCCCAAACAGCGCGTTTAAACGGGATGAAACGCGCCTTAGCTGATACTCATGGTATCTTTACAACCCTGGTTCGGACCCGAATGCGTATTCACTTATGATGGTCGTAGCGTTCCGACCGCTCCAGCAGCTTTCATGTGTAATAGGTGTAATAATCCGAAAGTCCGAAAGTACTAGTTCCGTTAGATGGCGCTGATGCTGGTCTCAAAGTTACACAAAACAAATCAGACGACAATAGTGTTACACCAATACCATGTAGTGAACTACTACTACAGTGTACTGTTTTCGAAATAGACAAAACATATATTATATAAAAACTTACTGTTTACGGCTGCGGTGCTTAATATTTTGGACGATTGCAAACACAGAGCAAAGTATTTATCTAATCCTGTTTTAGAGAGTTTTTATAACTGTGGCGTCTCACATCTCTCGTGCTTCAGGCTCTACTCGCCAGGTGGCCAAGCCCCTACTAGTTCTCTCCCGTTAAGCGGTGAAATTCCCGCACGATTAGTATATAAGCGCGATCGAGTCAATCTGAGCCCACACCTCTCCTGTGTCTAAGGCAGGGAGCACGTCATCAGCCTTACTGATGAGACCTGGCGTGCTCTCGGGACGAAACACCTTTTTCTCTCTCAAGTAGGCGATAACAATCGCTACATAACGACCATATAGTAAAACATGGTTTAAATTCAAAATTATGCTTCCTTCTTCAAAAGGCTTTACTCCACCATTAACATATTTCATTCACTTTTAAATTAAATATTTTTATTGTAAGATACGAAATTTCGGCAAACATTAACAATAAGGTAAAGTTCCCTATATTCGGACAAAAGTGTTGTTCAGACCTATATCCGGACAGCAGCGATAATTACATAATTTTTTTACAATTCTGAATGAAAAAATTTATTTGTAATCTACAGTATCGAATTGATTTAAGATAGTTACAACATATGTCGAATTAATTTGATGATTTATTAAAAGAAATGTTTTTTCTTGCAAATCGAGGTTTTTTGTGTTTGGCTGCTGTACGGAAATTAGATACTACGGTTCAAACTGTACCCCATATTCGGACACACATAATCCAGCAATTCACTAGCTTACAAGTGCAAAGAAATGGTATACAATGTAGTAAAATACAATTATAATTTGTGCAAGTAATTTAAGGTTGCGCTCTACGTTACCGTCAGGTCAGTAAGTCAACTACCTTGAATTAAACTGTGGCGCTCTATTCCGTAATTTGGCCAGTTAAAACAGCAGACGACGTGAAAGTCGAGAAAAAAGTGTTAAGATTTCATCGCTCTTGACTGTCGTCTGCTGTTTTTACTGGCCAGATTACGGAACAGAGCGCCAGTTTAATTCAAGGTAGTTGACTTACTGACCTGACGGTAACGTAGAGCGCAACTTTAAATTACTTGCTGGTGATGATTGCGGAAAACACCCAAGGTATCGACAATTTCTGGTATTGAGTATTGACTGTAGTAATCAAATATATAGACCAAGAGCTGAGGCCCACGGGTGGTCAAAATTATAACCAGCCGCCACTTTTACCAAAATTGAGGAACCTCATGATTCGTAGAGATACGAAATGTTTTGGTCATAATTCATAGTGGTGAAGAGTTATGTGGTAATTAAAGTTGTGCCATATGTTTTTTTTATTAACCAGCCGCAACTTACACCGATGGATAGAAAATAAAAAGTGCTGGAAGTACCATTTGCGGCAAGATCAGAATGCATCTTGTACCCGAAAATCGACCTTCAAAAATATAGACCCCCTACCCGATCGAATCTATAATACTTATCTAATCTGATGAAGCATTCTAGATAACACTATAGATAAGAATACAATATCTACATTTTTGAAAGTCGATTTTCGGGTATAAGGTGAATTCTAATTTTGCCGCAAATGGCACTAGACAATTTTAAATTTCTTATCCATTGGTATAAGTTGCGGCTGGTTAGTAAAAAAGAGCATATGGCACAACTATCATTTCCACATAACTCTTCACCACTATAAAATATGACCAAAACATTTCGGATCTCTACGAATTATGAGGTTCCTCAATTGTGATAAAAGTGGCGGCTGGTTAAAATTTTGACCACCCTTCGGCCTCAGCTCATGGTCTATATGTTTGATTACTTCGGTCAATACTAAAAATTGTCGATACCTAGCCTAAAGCCTAACTCCTGTTATTACACCTATTACACATGAAAGCTGTGGAGCGCTCCGACCATAGACATATGAAAAATAGACTGCTCGTTCTTGTGTACGGCTCTGAAGCACGGATAGAAAGGGACACAGCATTGGATGTGGATATCTGTCTCTCTCCCACGTATTCAGGGGGGTCACCGTAACCAAACCCGCACAATAATATCATAGTAAAAATATCCACGTTCGATGCTGTGTCTCTTTCTACTCGTGCTTCAGAGCCACGCATAAGAACGAGCAGTCTATTTTTTCTACAGTCAGATTTATCGGTGGAGCCTAGGGGCCGTTCATATATTACGTCACACAGCTAGGGGGAGGGGGGTTATTGGTTCATCGTGACGAAGTGTGACATGGGGGGAGGGGGGTCTACAGAAAACGTGACGTTTATTTAAAATAATAAAAAATTGGGTTTCATCTACCCAACGTGACCTCTACTCCAGTATAAGGAACAGTCATACTTTAACTTATAAGTCTACTTTGATTATAACCAACCCCAAAGGCTATTAGTAAAAGCTAGTCAGAAATGAGTCTGAAGTTTGTTTGTGATTTATTGTATAAGTTTAAACGAATTGATCCAAAGCTGTTATTTCAAAATTACTATTATTTGATAAATAATAAAAGTGTTCTGTAAAGATTGAGAATTAAGTTTTAAAACTCTTTACCTGTATAATATTAAATTAACTTCTTCACAAGATGACTCGAAGAATAATGACTTTAAAAATAATAACTACAAAAAAATTCAATATTAATGATACGTAAAAAGGGGGGAGGGGGGGTATAAGACCTGCGTGACAAAGCGTGACAAGAGGGGGGTGGGGGCCCAAAAAGTGACAGAAATAGCGTGACGTAATATATGAACGGCCTCCTACACAGGCAACATGTAGGTTATATATAATAAAAATACATAAGGGCTGTTCACGGTGGTAGCAGTGAGCAGCAAGTGGAAAGTACACTCGTGGCCGCGGTTACATGGGGTGGAAATAGCCAGCAGAGTAGCAGATCCGACTACCCGAGTAGAAATGAAAGTGGGGAGCTCAGCTTAAACGCATGGTTTAATTTAAGTAACCAAACCTGGCCACGGGTGGGTTTGTAACACGACGCTGACTTGGGCACAGCTTGGCATGACTTTCGCCCAGTAATCGCCCACTTTTGTCTGCACTGATATTGGATATATATAAGCATGCAAGTTTGTATACATATTCTATGTGTGTTTGCGCGCGCACATGTCATACTATATTTGTATACTCATTTATAGACGTCTCTGTGTTATACTGATCTGCAGACGAAAGTGAGCGATTACTGGGAGAAAGTCAGGCCAAGCTGTGCCCAAGTCAGCGTCGTATGAGGACCCTACAATCCAACAGATGGCGTACTGTAGCTAAGAGAAAATCACCTACAAGTCTAAATATATGCGACTAAGCCTAATATGTATAGATAGACTTGTTGGAGATTTTCTCTTAGCTACAGTACACTATCCGTTGGATTGTAGGGCCCTCATTACAAACCCACTGCAGGCCAAGTCAGGTGCCAAGTTGCGGCTAAGGTGGGTGGCATGGCAGCCAAGCTTATGCCCAGTTTTCGCACACTTTCAATTTCTACTTGGGGTCTTCACAGATGAAGGATAAAAGAGTACCCTAGTCCCCAATGCTTTTAATGAGTTACGCATTCTGCATTCTGCTCTCACAGGGAAAAGTATCCATGGTGCACATGGAGCAGAACAGAAAGGCTGCGTCATGACAGCTGCCAATGAGGGCGTGGCGTTTCAGTGGCTAACATTGGATATAATCCATACAATATCAATTAATAACCCTTCTGATTGATATTTTGTAATCACATATGTAATTCCATCTGTATTTACACTTGTAAAGTCACTTAGAATTCTACTTGGAATTCCACATGGGATTTTGGATTGGAAACTCCAAGTGTCATTCCAAGTGGCATTCCAAGTGGAATTACAAATGACCACTAAAGGTACATTTTTTCCTTTTTTAAAATAGTTAAAATTGAAATTTCAAGCGATTTAATGGCCTGAGTAGATGTTATCATCCATATAGTAACACTGAAGCTGAGGGGTTCAAGTCATTTCAAGAAAATTTGAACGAATAATAAAAAAATCTATTTTTTCGAAATCTGAGAACAAATACTTGAACCCCTCTGATTTGGTGTTACTATATGGATGATAAAACCTAACTAGGCCATTATACTGCTTGAAATTTCAATTTTAACTATTTTAAAAAAGGAAAAAATGTATCTTCAGTGGTCATTTGTAATTCCACTTGGAATGCCACTTGGAATGACTCTTGAAGTTTCCAATTCGAAATCCTATGTGGAATTCCAAGTGGAATTCCAAGGAGAATTCCAAGTGACTTTACGAGTGTAAATACAGATGAAACTACATATGTGATTACAAAATATCAATCAGTAGGGAAATTTTTTTAAATTGTTTTTTTTAGTAAAGTGTACTAACCGACACTGACGGTGCCTTAAAGGCCAACCACAAAGACAAAGACAACGCTCGTGCAAGATCTTGCGGTCCTTGCGGATTGCGGGATACGAATAGAGCGGTGGTAAGCCCCGTTAGATGGCGCTAATGCTAATCTCAAAGTTACACTAAGACCACGTGATACAGAGTGGCAAGTACAAAACTTTTTGACAATGTTGGTAGATTAATATTATATTATTGGTAATTGTTGGCATGTACGACTTTTCAATAGGCAGTATATATAGTGTGAAAGACAGCGCCACAGGCAAGGTG